AAATGGTGGCGCACAGAGGAAGACTGGCGAGTTGGGGGGGGAAGAAGATAGCGGGGGGGTCGGGAGTCGGGGGATCAGAGTTGGGAAGAGCGGGGGGGTTCCACGCGGGGGAATCGCTTAGTCGCGGGAGGGCGGGGTAGGCAGCGGGGGGGAATAGTGCGCGGGAAGAGAGGTGGAGATGGCGCGTAGGAGGAAGGGGTAATGGCGGGGGGTGGTCAACGATAACGGGGACGAAGATGAAGAAGGGAGAGGTGACGACGAGGAAGAAGAAGACGAAGGAGGGATGACGACGACGACGACGAGGAGAAGAAGGGGAAGAAGGAAGTGAGGAGGATAAGAAAGAAAGAAAATGATAATAATAATAAAATTTTGGTTTCGGCTTTCTGCGCGTTGACTTCGGGATCGGCGACAAGGCAGCGATGGCGGGGACGAGGCGCTAACATGACAGCACCGACGACGACGACACAGCTGCTGACGTGGCGACGATGACTATGACGACGAGGCAGCCACAACAGCAGCTATGCAGTTCTGTTGTGGCGGTAATGTTAGCGGCAATGGCTATGTCGTGCCGGCGCTGCACACAATGGCGATGGCGATGATGCCCATGACATGGCAATGACGGCGACGGGGTCGACGGCGACGACGATGAATCAGGGTGGGAGGGAGGGCCGAAGCCGCTCCGATACCAGTGTGACGGGGCGGAGGTAGAGCAGCGAGGTCGGGGAAGAGAGAGGGAGGGAGTGAGAGCAGCACACACACACACTCACTCGACTCGACACAGACTCGACACGACTCGACGGACGCAGACACAAAGTGGCAAAGTCGCAAAGTCGCAATCTTGGTTCCATACACAATGTCACAAGAAGTCACACTGAAGCACAAGTACTGAGGCCGAAAACTGAGTCCCCGAACTCAGCTTGAGTCCGGTCTTAAGTACCGGACTCGAGTTGAGTCCGAGGGCAAACGTGCAATTTGCCTTGGGGATGAACTGAAAATCGAAGGTCTGAGCCTGGGCGCCAGAATGCCGGATGGCGCCAAGTATGAAATCCGAAACTGGCAGAGGCGGGATTTGAGAATGGGCGCCAACTGCAGAGGGCGCCAACAGTCAGGAACCGGAGATCAGAAACTCCAAAAAAAATAGAATAGCAGCCTGGCGGGTGGTACCCCGCGGACCAGGGATCGAGCCCTGGCTGAGTCCGTAACACGGGACCCATTTCACCTTCTTTTTTTTGTTTTTTTCTTTGTTTTTATGCATTTGAATTTTTAAAAATATATTTAAAGGCGAAAAAAAAAAAAAGCATGGGATTGTAGATCGTTTCAATTCGTGAAATGATCTACAACACTATATTTTTTAATTTATATTTTGCCCACTTTTTCCCCGCGAAAAAAAATCCTTTGGAAAAGAAAAAAAAAAAAACATTTGCTTTTTTTTCGGTTTTTGTATTTCTGTTTCTGTTTTCGACTTTTAAAAAAATATATTCATCGAGGGGACCCCAAATCTGCAATAAAATTTTGGTTTCGGTGGGGGGATGGG